AATTTCTCAAATAGATGTCTACATGATTCTCTTGGACCAAAATTTGCAATAATTCTCATAGCCTTCTTTTGTAGTCTAAAGACATTGCTGGCATAGGAAGCGTTACCCCAGAAAATTATGCCATATCTTAAAATGGAGTGAATGTGTGCAAAATAAATTACCTTTAATGTATCTAATGAGATAAAATGCTTTATATTTCTCAACGCATAACATGACCTTGCAATTTTATTGATAACATAGTTAATATGCTGTTTCCATGTGATGGTATCATCAATAATTAGTCCTAGAAATTTAGTTTCTTTCACCTTTGGTAATTTTATTTCATCATCTATGGTCATTGGGGTAATATTATAACAATTCTTGGAACGAAATTCAATATATTGAGATTTTTTAAAATTTAAAGCAAGTAAATTAGCATTAAACCAAGGGATGGAACATTGGTTTTTAACACAACATTGACACAGCTGATCATGAAAAGATTTTAGTACAATGATTTGATACAACTATATTGAAATATGTAGGTTATATCAACAACAGAACATGAGCCAGATTTTTCATCCTGTTCTTTCTCCCGCAGATCAAATAAAGAAACTATCAGCCCTTGGTTTCCATCCCGATGACTGCATAGCCGCTCTTTCTCATTGCAACGGGCACCTGGATGATGCTGCCCTCTGGCTCACTCATAATGCAGACTTGGCAGATACAGCTATTCGAGGAAAAGACTACATAGGCGATAGTCGTTCTTTACTGTCATTTCATGTTATAGAGGTACATAACAGTTATACATTATGTGCAGTTTATTGTTATAATGGTTTCTGTAGTTGATGTGGAATTTTCCTTGCATAGATCTGTTGTGGTAGCTGATAGTCCATGGCTTGCTTTTCCACTCTAGTTTAACTTAGCTTTTGTAATATTTATTTTATTTTATCATCTCAACACTGTTTTTAGCAGATGGGGTTGCTGTGTAAGATGACAATTTTCAGCACATTTATACCATCTTCAGGTCCTGGTTTTAGTTGTAGTTAATGTATCGTACACTTATCATATGTTTACATGTAAGCCAGGTGGATCCACCAGTGTGTTATATACGTACTATGCATACTATAATAGGCTGCCTTGTTATTTCTCTTGGTTTTTTATTGAAGTTACAAACTTTGAATGTGCTGTGTGAATGTGCAGCATAGAACACATTTCAACACATGTCCATTTCACTTGTATCTTTCATTCTGCTGTTCTTCCTGGGGCACATTGGCCTTGAGTTGGTGACACTGTTGATCATACAGAGTGGTTAGTGGTTTTGTTGGTTATTGTGTTTTATAGATGATGAGTCTTGATGTGGCAACCCTCTGCTTCTAAGCATGCCTCACATCATGGGAATATGTTCCTGGACACACATTAAAGGTGCTATGTGGGAATAGTGGACAATTCATGGCAAATATTTTGTTAAAATTCATCCAAAGAGTGTGGTTTGTTCACACACACTTTATGTTGTAGCATTCCTTATTGATAAAAGTCATAAGCATTTAAATTGGGTGAGTGTAAAGTCCACATTCCTCTATGTATTACATGTTTGACTTCATCAAGTATAACAGTAGAACTTTTTGCAATGTGTACCATTGCAGTGTCTTGCACAAAATGCTCCTGTGATATTTCCTTATCAGTCAGTTGATTAAGGAAGTGCTACAAAATCAGTCTCACATAATGTTTGAAATTTGTTGTTTTGTGGAGGAACTCAGACTCAAGTATCCTCCACACACTAATTGCATACCTAAACCAACTTTTAAATTATGCAGTGCAGTGAACAGCATGAAGTTTTCCTATGCTCCAATATTTTTTATTTTGGCTGTTACATAGCCATAACCTGCAGTATCAAATGATGCTTTTCAGTCTAGAGACAAAAATCTTTGTATGACTGTAGTTTTGTAAGAATGTAAATTAAGCAACTTTGTACCAATACGAACTGAAGAGCCAGAAGATTTCCTTGGGCTTGCTTCTGATTGAGAACTAATGTCAGCAAATTTCTCTTCAGTCAGTACATGTCTTTCTGCAAGTTGTCTTTTTGTGACTGTATTGTGACATTTGTATTTCAGGTCAAAGCATCACACGTATGTGTCTGTGTGATTGATGATTGTCGCGATTCAGATGTTCCCTTGCTTGAGCTGTCTCTGTCCCAGTTGGCTCTGGAGCAGGAAGTGGATGGGGTTGGCACGGCCCAATGCATCTTATCCAGTGACTACTACAACCGTGTGTTATCTGGTTGGGAACCCTTCATGGAACCATGGAGGTGAGTATATGAGGAATTTTATTTGGAGAGACCAAGGTTTCACGTTGAAATGAATCTTACAAGTCACAAGTTTTGAAGATGTGAACTGGATTGAAGTGCCTTAACAGCAGGCACTGAAGCACAGGAAATCCACTCCATAATGGTGTTTGGTGTACCCTGAGTACAAGGAGGATTCTGGGTGCTGTGTTTTAAGCAGGCAGTTAATTCTGAGAAATATCAAAAGCAGAGTGAAAATATAAGGAAGGGTATGTAGTTGGTTTCTCATGCCACACTTTTGGGAATTAAGTCGTTAACTGTTTGACATTTTCTACTCAGACAGCACTCATGCAATTTACATTATCCAACGTACTTCATTTGGAGTAAGTGATTCAAGTTTTTCCCACTCTTCTGTCAGAAGTCTCAGCAGGCATTGACAACAGTGACATTCTAGGAGGTTTGTGGTTGACCAAAACTGGCATCTATACGTAATTTTACCTTCACTCATCTCTTATCATGAGTGAAGGGTTCCTTTACATGCCGTAAATGTATGATGTATGACCTCCAACTGTACTTCTTTTCTGAAGTAAGTTGTGCTACAGATTCTTAGCACCCTTACAAATCCATTGACTTATGCTGCATTCCAACCCATGAACCTTTAAGTTTTTATTTTTCAATTTTTGGCGAGGGAGCATGTGTGGATGAGTTCACCTAAGTTAATGCACATACGATGCAACTCCACTCTATAATTTCCAAATTCATGAAGACTTCCATAGGCCACTTTCTGTGAAAACACAAGGTATAGATATATTTTAAAATGTTACAGATCTTATAATTAACTATGTCTCTGTTTCTCCATGATTCAAACCAGATGTATCTGCCCAATTTAATGGTCATAAATTGACATGGTTGACTTCATATTCAGCAAATTTGTTCAAAAAAGTAAATGAACTGAATCAGTCTCTTCAAGGGAAAGGTCTAAGTGGACAGCAAACTCCAGGCATTTCACCAGAGGCTTTTGCCGACATCAGTGGACTCTGAGTCAACATGCACAGGCATGGTTGCATGTGTTAATGATTCTGTTCCTGCAAATGAGATTTCATCTTCTGCTTCAATTCAGAAGTTGTATTTCAATGCATCTCTGAATTACGTAGTTATTTTTTCCACAAATATTTTTCAATTAAATGAGAATGAAGAGTATGATCAGGTAAAGACACCATTTTATGCTTCTTTAAAATATGGCTATAGTTTATGGTTGGCTAGAGAAGAAGTGATTGAAACAAGTTCAAATTCTTCCCTGGAAACTGAATTCAATAAACGAGTAAGAACAAAATTGGAGATAAATTGGTAACAACAATATCCGTCAATCACAAAAGCTGCTCTAGCCATCATAATCCCCTTTCCATCGACATATCTTCTTGAAACTGCATTTTCATCCTAATTGGCAATGAGAAACAAACACAAGCTAAGGAGGCAGATTTGAGAATTGCCACTTCAAGTATTACACCTGATACTGATTTAACTTGTGAAATTATTCAGTAGCAGCCATCTCATTAAAGGTAGCAAGTAATCTTGGAAGGCTGCAGTAAGTTGGAAGTTCATTTTCTTCTATGTTTTTTTTTTTCTGCATATTTGATAGTAAAAGGAAATTTCTTTATTAGTATTTAGTAAAGTGCATATATATATATGCATATAATAAATAAATATGCACTCTCAGTGACGCCTACCAGAAGTTTCTGTTATTGGGTCAGAGGAGCCTTTAGATTTTTTGATTGGATTTTGGGGAGCCACAGGACCAGAAAGTCTGAGAAGTACTGCTGTGTAGCACAAAATGAACAGATGATTACTTGGTAACGAACTGGAGGGCATATTGGAGCAAGTAGTTGTGGCCTAATTTGCCTTGATAAAGACCGTGAGTGCTAGCAACTTGATTGTGACATTCACTGAGTTGCTGCTGATCAGGGTATAACACATTAATCACCCAGGGTCTTGTGTTGACAGTGATGTAGTGTTAAACTTCACACAAAGTCA